AATGATTTTCAAATTATTGTATTTTGTCCTCATTTTCTAATAAATTTTTAGTGAAATCATCTAAAATTTTAATTACCAAACACTTAAAGTTTCAATTAATTTCAAAAATCACAATTTAAAATTTTTGAAAATTCAATTAAATTTAAAAATTGTTTTCCAAAAATTGTTTGATAAATTATTTTTAGTTCTGTAAAATTTAATAATTGTTTGAAATTTAGCAATATCTTTTGAAATTTAATTATTTCTAAAAATTTCAACTTTAACCCTTCGAAAAGGATTATTATTTAAAAAAATTTTTATTTAAAAATCTGTAAAATATTTTTGTTAAAATAAAAAACAAATCCACTTTTTTTTGGAATATAAATCGACTAAAACGACTTTTTTGTGTCTTTAAGTTGATTCGAGGCCTGTGTTTTTATAATTAATATTTAATAGGTATTCGTTGGCCCCTGGTACCTTAAAAATAAATTTTTAAAAATAAATTTTTTTCAAATTACTATCTTGTACGAAATTTCCTGGCGCATTTTTTTTCTCATCATAAATTTTTTGTATTTGTATAGAATTTTTGAATCAATATACAACTTTAAAAAAAATTTCGTTGGTAAACGTTGTGTACTTCAGCTTCGTGAATTGAATTTTCGAATTTGGAATTTTAAAGAAACTTATTCCCAAATTTGGAAACACAATTATACAACATTGGCAAAAATGAGAAAAAGAATTGTCAAAATTTGACACGTCACATAAGATTACTACTCAAAAAAACACGTGAAATCAGAGAAGGCCAACTTCAAGTTAGGACAGAAGGACAGACCAAGCATTTTATTATTATATAATTTAATTATTTGATATCAAATTTTTTTCCCTCGCCGTAATTGAAACATTTTTAACATTTCCATTGGCTTCAATTACGGCGAGCAAAGTATCTTCAAAATACACGTAATTTTGGGTCACCGTAATTGATACACCGAAACTGATACAAACGCGCCGTAATAGAAAATTACGGTATTAGTTTTAATTTCTCATATTTGTTTAAATAATCGATTTTTATTAAATTAAAATTTTTTTTTTAATATCTAAATAACATAAGCTTTTAGTTTAATAAGTCTTCAATTGACTTTATACAATAGAAATGTCGAATTTTCTATTTCAAAGGTATTTTTACTCGAATCGCGCCGTAATTAGTACATTTACCCTAAATATGAGAAATTAAAACTAATATCGTAATTTTCGATTACGGCGCGTTTGTATCAATTTTGATGTACCAATTTTGGTGATTAAAATTACGTGTATTTTGTAGATACTTTGCCCGCCGTAATTGAAGCCAATGGAAATCTTAAAAATGTTTCAATTACGGCGAGGGAAAAAATTTGATTTTAAATAATTAAATTAATAATTGTTTAAATGTGCAATTATAATAGCTTTTTTTTATGAACGCGCCGTAATTGATGCACTCGCCGTAATTGGTGCACTTACCCCAATTTACCAAAAATTTTTTACATTTTTTTTTTAATGCGAATGCAAAATGTCTATTAAAAAGTAATAATAATAATAGTAATTATAATCTTTTTTTTAAACTTAATTAGAAAATATAATTTTATTAAAAGTTAATTTTTTTTCTTAATAGAATGCTTAATGCTTTTTAAAGCATGTTACATCAATAATTTGAAGAATAAATTTACGAATGTTTGAGTACTTTTTCATTTTTTCTTTGGAATCTATTCTTCGAATTGTAAACTGCTTGATCACGTGTTTGCAAAACGTGCCAGACGAGATATAAATCTTTCAATAAAACTCAATTTTCCATTTAAACACTTTCAATCTAATTTAATGGAAAAACAGAAATTTTTTTTTTTTTTTTTAATATAAATATTTCAAATCTTGAGCGCATTTTTTTATTCTTCCTCTTTTTAGTATAACTAATTCTATTTTCATTTTAAAATCACAAATTATCGTGAAAATATTTTTCTAACAACGTCTTTCTTTACTTTTTTTTTGGTAAGTTTCCAAAAAACGAAAAATTCACACAGTATTTTATTTTTATATTTCTTTTTTTTTGCTTTTTATGAAAAGAAATTTATTTTTACTCCAAAGTGATATGATGTGTTTTTTCTTTTATAAATTGTACTGAATTTATAACCTTAAATTTACAGCTATTCCTTTGAACACAAAAAAAAAATATGGTACTGCTTTTTAATCCAAAGAAATTGCTGATGAGAGAGATCATAAAAATATACTATGACTTTGATAAAAAAAAAACAAAAAAAAAAACAAAAAAAATAAAATGAATAATATGTGGGTGTGAATTTTTTTTTTTCAACAAAAAAAAATTGATGAGATATATAAAATGAAAAATTATCAATTTTTAAAATAAAATAAATACATAAAAATGAAAATATTCGCAAAATATATTTTTTTTTTTTTTGAAAAAGATTTTATATGAGACTTGAAAATAAATCTACTGCATTAAATGCGTCCTCGTGCAAAGTGGGCGCCAAACTTTTGAGGATCTCCGGATTACGGTTTGCCTTAAGAAAAATGAGACGGCGGAACGTGATAAATATCGAGTTTTACTAAATCCCCCAACGGTTTTCTGTTCTTGCAAACGGAAATTTTTTTGGAGAATTTATTCCAGACACGATTAACTTTTCTTTTTTTACAAAAAAAAAAAAAAAATAATAATGTATATCCTATTTCACGCTTTATTACTTATTTCATCGTGATAAATGTTTTAACCATAAAAATTGTGATGAGAGAAATATTTGATTTGAATTTGAGTTTTATTTATTAGAAATATTTGAGAAATGACTTTTACAATTTTTTTCATTTTTATGAATAAACAGAAAAAAAGGAGAATATTTAAAATAAAAAAAAATTTGATATTAAATTCGTTATCATTGACTAAGAAAATCCATGACTACCAAGTTTCAAGTGAATTTGATCAAGTTTAAGAACTTTTTTCGCAACATTGGAATTGTCATTTTGAATTTTGAAAATTCTGATATCATATTCGTAATCAGCGACCCTGAAAACCCCCGAGTGACGAATTTTAAGCGAATTCGTTCAATTTTACAAAAATGCCGCCATTTTGGATCCGACATTTTGAATTTTAAACATTCTGATATCATATTTGTGATCAACGACCCCAAAATCCCCGAACGACGAATTTCAAGCGTATTCGATCAATTAAAAAAAATTGCCGCCATTGTAACGGTTGCTGTGGTAACGGTTTCTACGGAAACGGTTATTATTGTAAACGGTTACTATGGTAACGGTGACTACGGTAACGGTTACTATTAGTAACGGTTACTCTTAGTAACGGTTACTCTTAGTAACGGTTACTCTTAGTAACGGTTACTCTTAGTAACGGTTACTCTTAGTAACGGTTACTCTTAGTAACGGTTACTCTTAGTAACGGTTCTATTAGAAACGGTTGTTATGGTAACGGTGACTGCGGTAACGGTTACTATTAATAACGGTTACTATCGATAATAGTTACTATCGGTTACGGTTACTATTGGTAACGGTTATTATTGGCAACGGTTACTATCGGTAACGGTTACTATTGGAAACAGTTGTTATGGAAACGGTTGCTACTGGTAACGGTAACTACGATAACGGTTACTATTAGTAACGGTTACTCGTAGTAACGGTTACTATTAGAAACAGTTACTATAAGTAACGGTTACTCGTAGTATCGGTTACTATTAGTAACGGTTACTCTTAGTAACGGCTACTCTTAGTAACGGTTACTCTTAGTAACGGTTACTATTAGAAACGGTTGTTATGGTCTCGGTGGCTACGGTAACGGTTACTATTCATAACAGTTACTATCAGTAACAGTTACTATTGGTTACGGTTTCTATTGGTAACGGTTACTAATAGTAACGGTTGCTACGGTAACGGTTACTATTGAAAACAGTTGCCATGGTAACGGTTACTATTGGTAACAGTTGTTATGGAAATGGTTGCTATGGTAACGGTTATTATTGGTAACAGTTAATATTGGTAACGATTATTATTGGTAACGGTTACTATCGGTAACGGTTACTATTGGTAACAGTTATTATTGGTAACGGTTACTATTGGTAACGGTTGTTATGGAAACGGTTGCTATGGTAACGGTTACTATCGGTAACGGTTATTATTGGTAACGGTTACTGTCGATAACAGTTACTATTGGTAAGGGTTGTTATGGAAACGGTTACTATTGGTAACGGTTCCTATTGGTAACAGTCGTTATGGATACGGTTGCTATGGTAACGGTTATTATTGGTAACAGTTACTATTGGTGACGGTTGTTATGGAAATGGTTGCTATGTTAACTGTAGCTACGGTAACGGTTACTATTGGAAACAGTTGTCATGGTAACGATTATTATTGGTAACGGTTACTGTCGGTAACAGTTACAATTGGTAATGGTTGTTATGTTATCGGTTACTATTGGTAACAGTTGTTATGGAAACGGTTGCTACGGAAACGGTTACTATTGGTAACGGTTACTATCGGTAACAGTTACTATTGGTAACGATTTTTAGGGAATCGATTGTCATGGAAAAGGTTGCTACGGTAACGGTTACTATTGGAAACAGTTGTCATGGTAACGGTTACTTTTGGTAACAGTTGTTATGGAAACGGTTGCTATGATAACGGTTATTATTGGTAACGGTTGTTATGGAAACGGTTGCTATGGTAACGGTTATTGTTGGTAACAGTTACTATTGGAAACGGTTGTTATAGTAACGGTGGCTATGATATTGCTTACTATTGGTAACGGTTGTTAGGGAAACGATTGTCATGAAAAAGGTTGCTATGAAAACGGATACAAGTGTACCTGACAGACGTATGGACGTACGGACATTAAAGCGAAACTATAAGACTTTTGGGACTAAGCCACGAAATCCTAATAATATATTTTAATTCGCTTTTTTAAAACAAAAATCAATTTATATCAATAATAAATTATAAAATGAATGTAAAAATAAAATTATCAATTATTTCAGCTGTGAGGGATGCAAAGGCTTCTTTAAACGAACAGTTCGCAAAGACTTATCGTACGCCTGTCGAGAGGAGAAGACCTGTATTATTGACAAAAGGCAAAGAAATCGTTGTCAATATTGTCGCTATCAAAAATGTTTAGCAATGGGAATGAAGAGGGAAGCAGTTCAAGAGGAACGTCAAAGGACCAAGGAACGTGATCAAAATGAAGTTGAAAGTACAAGTAGTTTACATGCCGATATGCCAGTTGAAAGAATTTTGGACGCTGAAAATCGTGTTGAGTGTAAAATGGAAAATCAAGGAAATTACGAGGTGATTAAAAATTGTTGATTTTCATTTTTTTTTTTTTTTTTTTTTGCTTATATAATAAAGGGGACATTTTTGAAATGAGATTATTGAATTTCTCCATTTTGCAGAATCCGGTTTCAAATATTTGCAATGCAACGAATAAACAGCTCTATCAATTAGTGGAGTGGGCCAAACACATTCCTCATTTTACATCACTACCAATTGAGGATCAGGTACGGCTGCTTAGAGCCGGTTGGAATGAATTGTTGATTGCCGCATTCTCACATCGGTCTATTGACGTTAAGGATGGAATTGTCCTTGCTGCCGGTATCACAGTGTATCGAAATTCAGCACAACAAGCGGGCGTTGGACTTATTTTTGAGCGTGTACTCTCGGAATTGGTGTCGAAAATGCGCGAGATGAAAATGGACAAGACGGAACTTGGATGTCTGAGGTATACAATTAAATATTGATGTTTAAGTCTTTTGTCATTGAATTGGTATTTGCTGTAAGATATTATTTGATCACGAATTAGATACATTGTAATTTCGCTAGAGCCAGGCTAGAGCCAAGATTGCGCCACAATTTGATTTGACGTTACAATCACGCTAAAGTCATAATTTTATCTTTGTAGCCAAGTTTCAGCCACGATTTGGCCACGTTAGTACCACGTTTTATCTAAATTTAAGCCACGATTTAGCCATTTTGTAGCCACGATTTGGTAATTCTACAGCCAAGTTGTATCCACAATTTAACCATTGTAGGGCCACTACTTGGCCACAATTTGGTTATTATAAAAGTATATTTTATCATTATTACCACGAATCAGCCACGATTTGCCCACGCTACAATCGCGCTTCATCCACTTTAAAACCACTTTTTAGCCAAGTTTGAGCCACGATTTGGTAATTCCACAACCATGATTTAGAAACTCTAAAGCCGTGATTAACTCACTGTAGCCACGATTTAGCTACGTTGAAACCACTTTTTTAGCCAAGTTTAAGCCACGATTTGGAAACTCTAAAGTCGTGATTGACTTACTGTAGCCAAGATTTGGCCACGTTATAACCGAGGATTTGCAAAGCCATAGCCAACTTTTAGCCAGGACTTATCCATGATTTGCACAAGCAACGTGCGCGCTTTAACTACGTTGCAACCACGTTTTAACCACATTTTTGCAACGATTTAGCCATGTTACAGCCATGTTTAAGCCGAGATTTGCTAATTCGAAAGTCACGATTTGATCTTATTGCAGCCACATTTTAGCCAAGTTTCACCCTTGATTTGATAACTCTAAAGACACAATTTGGCGACGCTATTGCCATGAGTTAACCATTTTTTAACTACTATTTTATAGAGTTATAACTTGGTGCCTCTACAACTAGGCTTTAGCCACGATTAAGCCATGTTTTTCCCACGATTGGACTGCATAATAGGCGCGCGCCATGATTTGGCCACGCTACAACCTAGATTGAGCTACGATTTGATTTTGCTGCAGCCACGTTGAAGCCGTGTTTCACTTTCGATTTTCTAACTCTAAAGACACAATTTGGTAACCTAAAGACATGATTTAGACACTGTAGCCAATATTTAGCCATGTTGTAACACAATTTAGTCACATAACCACGATTTAGCCATGTTTTACCCTTGACTTTGTAAGGCCTTGGTGGCTATACAACCTGGCTTTAATCATGTATTTGCTAATTCTAAAGCCAGGATTTAGTCATTGTAGCAAAGATTTGGCTAAGTTATAGCCACGGTTTAGCCAAGTTTTAACCATGATTTAGCACGAAAAAAGCGCGCTATAGACAGGTTATAAACACGCTTTAGCCAAGTTTTAGCCATAATTTAGCCATTTTTTGTCTACAACTTAAATACGTTTTAGCCACGTTTTAGCCACGATACAACCATGTTTCACTCACGATTTCGCCACATTACAACCTATTTTAAACCAAGAGTTGATTACTCGAATGCCAAGTTTTAGCCACTACACAACCAGACTTCGTCCAAGTTTTAGCCATGATTCAGACATTTTTAATCAAGACTCAAATACGCGTTAGCTTCGTTTTAGCCACAATTTAAACTTGTTTTACCAACAATTTCGCCACACTACAGTCTAGTTTAAATCAAGATTTGATTATTCGAATGCCACGCTTCTGCCACGTTTCAGCCACTACATTTTTAGCAAAATTTTAGCCATGATTTAGCCATCCACGACTTAGCCACGTTTTAGCCGCGATTCAACCATCTTTTACCTACGATTTCGCCACATTAAAGCCTAGTTTAAACCAATATTTGATTCCTCGAGTGCCACGTTTCTGCCACTATAGAACCAAGATTTAACCAAGTTTTGGCCATGATTCAGCCACTTTTCTCCACGACTTAGTTACGCTTTAGTCACATTTTAGCCACGATTTAACCTCGTTTTACCAACGATTTCGCCTAGTTCAAACCAAGATTAATTGATTATTCGAATGCCACGCTTCTGCCACGTTTCAGCCACTATATAACCAAGCATTAGCCAAGTTTTAGCCATCCACGACTTAGCCACGTTTTAGCCGCGATTCAACCATCTTTTACCTACGATTTCGCCACATTAAAGCCTAGTTTAAACCAATAATTGATTCCTCGAATGCCACGTTTCTGCCACTATAGAACCAAGATTTAACCAAGTTTTGGCCATGATTCAGCCATAACCAAGCATTAGCCAAGTTTTAGCCATTTTTTATCCATGGCTTAGATCCGCTTTAGCCACGTTTTAGCCACGATTCAACCATATTTTACCCACTGATTTCGCCAAATTACAGCCTAGTTCAAGCCAAGATTTAGCCATTTTTTATCCACGTTTTAGCCACGATTCAACCATCTTTTACTTACGATTTCACCACATTAAAGCCTAGTTTAAACCAATATTTGATTCCTTGAATGCCACGTTTCAGCCACTATAGAACCAAGATTTAACCAAGTTTTGGCCATGATTCAGCCATTTTTATCTACGACTTAGTTACGCTTTAGTCACATTTTAGCCATGATTTAACCTCGTTTTACCAACGATTTCGCCTAGTTTAAACCAAGATTTGATTACCTGAATGCCACACTTCTGCCAAGTTTGAGCCACTATATAACCAAGCATTAGCCAAGTTTTAGCCATGATTTAGCCATTTTTTATCCACGACTTAGATCCGCTTTAGCCACGTTTTAGCCACGATTTAACCATGTTTCACCCACGATTTAGCCAAATTATAACCTAGTTTGAAATATGATTTGAATACTCGATTGCCACGCTCCTGCCATGTTTCAGCCACTATATAACCCAGTATTAGCCAAGTTCTAGCCATGATTTAGCCACGATTCAACCATATTTTACCCACTGATTTCGCCAAATTACAGTCTAGTTCAAGCCAAGATTTAGCCATGCTACAGCCGTATTTAAGTCACTTTTTAGCCTAGTTTAAGCCACGATTTAGATAAGTTGTTACCGCTCTTTAGCCAAGTTTCAGCCAGGATTCAGACATATTTTACCCACTGATTTCGCCAAATTACAGCCTAGTTCAAGCCAAGATTTAGCCATGCTACAGCCGTATTTCAGTCAGTTTTTAGCCTATTTTAAGCCACGATTTAGATAAGTTGTTACCGCTCTTTAGCCAAGTTTCAGCCAGGATTCAGACATATTTTACCCACTGATTTCGCCAAATTATAGCCTAGTTCAAGCCAAGATTTAGCCATGCTACTGCCGTATTTCAGTCACTTTTTAGCCTAGTTTAAGTCACAATTTAGATAAGTTGTTACCGCGCTTTAGCCAAGTTTCAGCCACGATTTCGTAACCTCGAAAGCCACATTTTGGTCTTACTAGAGTCACATTTTTATCCACTATTATTTTGTAATTCTAAAAATTCAATAAACATTTTTGCAAATTTTTTAAATTTAAATTAATTAATAAATTAATTCTATATAATTGTAATATTCTTTATAATGTAACGAAATAATTTTTAAAAATTGTCTTTCTCATATTTTTTTTTTTTAATTAAATAATTACAGGACGATAATTCTCTTCAATCCCGAGGTACGTGGACTAAAATCAGCGCAGGAAGTTGAACTTTTACGTGAAAAAGTTTATGCTGCTCTTGAAGAATATACAAGAACAACAAAACCCGACGAGCCTGGCAGATTTGCAAAATTATTATTGCGTCTTCCCTCGTTGAGGTCGATTGGCCTCAAATGTCTCGAACATCTGTTCTTCTTTAGGTTAATTGGAGACATGCCGATTGATGCATTTCTCACTGAAATGCTTGAATCGTCGCCACGCATGTTGGAGGACTCTTAGGAGGAGGGGGTGTGCCGCGTTTTGGAGCACACCGATCTTTAAAAATACAAGAAAATAAAAAAAAACAAGAAAAAAAATAAGCCCGACAATTTCCATGAATTTATTTTTTTTTTTGGAACCAATTTACTTACTTGCGATTTATTGCTTTTACGCGCGCTTCTATTTTCCCATTATGCCAAGAGAAAGAAAGACTCGAAAGCAAAAAAAAATAAATTGACAGCAAATTTATGTTTTGCATTCAAAATCTATTTTTTAATTTTATCAATATTTAAAAATAAATGAAAATTTGAAACAATAATTGTAGGGGAAAAAAATAAATTTTTTTTCTAATAAAAAATAATACAAATTTTCATGAGAGAAAAATAAAAATTTTTAAACTAAATTTTTAAAAATTTATTTTTAATGCGAATCATGAGTTTTGTTGTCGGGGAAAAAAATATGCGATTTTTTTTTTTCTGTATAAATAATAAGTATACTGAATCGAGTGTACATTGCGTTAATTTATTGTTTTTTTTTTGTATATTAGCGCTGTGTGAAAATGGAAAAAAATATGTATAAGTGACTGAGAAAATTAAAGAAAGTTAATTTTGCAAAAAAAAATGTATGAATGAGAAAACGAAAATACAGAATAATTATTCTATTTTTTAATTTACATTAAGCGTAATTTTTTTTTCATTTAAATAACGCATTAAATATTGTGAAAGAAACATAATTTCTAGTGGGAAAATCGTTTGCATAAAAAAAAATTTGATTTTGTTTGTTTTACAAAGAAATAAAAGAAAAATTGCTTTAAATTGAAAATTTCATGAATTATTAAATTACTTATTAATTAATTATTAAAATAGAAAAAAAATTTTATACGCGTGAATTGTTTCGAAAAAATGTATTTTATTGATTAAATTTTCTCCTCTAATATTGGACTTTATTTATATATACTATAAGCGTAATTAGTTAGCAAAAAAAAAAGAAAAGGAAAGAAAAAGAAAAAGAAAAATGATAAAAAATGCAACAAAAAGCTATTGTAACGATAACTATTAGAAATATTTCTATTTTTGTGTGAATGCTTAACGATTGTTAGTTGTTGGTTGTTGTTATGTAATTTCACGAGAGTCTTTAATGTTAACGCCCCCCATAAAAAAATTGAATTTTCTTCTCTCTATATTCATATTTATATATATATATAAATAAATGTAAAATATCGATATAATATTTAGAAAAAGAAGCCATAATTTTAAATCTATCGAAACATCGATCTAATTTTTTTTTATTTTCTTTTCTTAATCAGAATTACTCAGGAAAATACAAAAAAAAAAAATTAATTTCGCTTTTAAGAAAAAAAATTACGTTCAAAAATTTATTTTTCCCTCAAAGTAGCAAAAAGAAATAGAACAAAATTGGTTAAAAATTTTCCACCTAAATGTTTATTTGAACTCTAAATTAATAATAATAATAATAATGTTGAAAATTGTAATATTGATAAGGCGAAATAATAAATAAATATGTGCAAAAATGTTTAATCATCGAATCTTTTTCAAACTATATATATATATATTTAAAAAAAATGTACGATTCGATAGATAAAAAGAAAATATTTTAGCAATTTTTTTTTTCTCATTATCAGATTCTCGTAAATAGAAAAAAAAATTATATTGTCAAATTTAGAAATATAAGAGTAAAAAAAAAAAGAAAATTAAATTAAAGGGCGCGAATGATACCTGTGAATGAAGTTTGAGACAACAATAATATTATTATTATTATTACAAACGTTACGATGAAAATATCTATACACACATACAAAAACACAGACACGAATATATTATATATAAATATAATAAAATATAAATCTATATTATAAAAAAAAGGAATACGAGTTTAAGTCTCTTAACAAATTACGAAGAAACCTCAGTAGCGGTCAGTAGATTAAATAATAATAATAATTAATTAAAACGGTTTAATGTCGAACTATTTACAAAATAGAGAATCAAGTTTATAAAAATTATAAAATTCAATGTTGACGACTATTATTGTTCGTGAACGAAATAATACAAATAAATAAAAAAAATGTTTATTATATACATCGTTCCATTATATATTTCACTGAAAAATCAATTTAGTCTATTTTTATAAAAAAAAAAAATTCTTGCTAATTTGTTGAAAATTAATTTTGATATTTTAAAAATTATAAAATTTTCTCTAAACAGAATTGTCACGGTTCATGGGAAATCATGGAAAAGTCAGGGAATTTTATGAAATGTACTAGAAAAATAACAAAATTTCTAGAAATGCTATTAAAAATTATAATTTTTCAAATTTTTAATTCAAAATTTTGCTTCTAAAAATGAGAAAAATGAGAAAAATTTTCAAGATTTCAATTCAGTTTCAGAAAAAATTTTCAAAAATTATATTTAAAAAAAGAAAATTTTTTTTGAAGTCTGCTTTATCCACATTATTCGAATTTAGAATTTCGGAAAATGTTTTTAATAATTAAATTTTCGAAGAATTTCATTAAAATATTATTGGAAAAAAAATTAATTTTAAATGAGAAAATTTGTTAAATAATTAAATTTCAGAAGATTATTTATAATTAAACTTTTAAAAATAATTTTTGGAAGTTCGATTAAAAATATTTAAAAATAATTGAATTTTAGATTTCAAATTTCAATTTTTAAAATAATTGAATTTAAAAGAGGTTAATTTAAATTTTTCAAAAATAATTGAATTTCAGGAGATTTTTTAAATGAAAATTTTTAAAATAATTGAATTTAAAAGAGTTTAATTTAAATTTTTTTTAGAAATAATTGAATTTCAGAAGATTTTTAATTAAAATTTTTAAAATAATTCAATTTGGATGAGTTTGATTAAAAAATTTTTGGAAATAATTGAATATCAGGAGATTATTAATTAAAATTTTTTAAATAATTGAATTTGAATGAATTCGATTAAAAATATTTAAAAGTAATTGAATTTCATAAGGTTTTTAGTTGAAATTTTAAAAATAATTGAATTTGGAACAGTGTGTTTAAAAATTTTTAGAAATAATTGAATTTTTGAAAAATTGGATTAAAACTGTTGAAATAAATAATTAAACAAAGAATTTAAGTTAAAAATTTTGGGAAAAAAATTTTCAATTTTTAATTGATTAAATTTTTTTTTACAAACTTTAAAAAATAATAGAATTTTATAGTATTTTTAATTAAAAAAATTTTTATTTTCCTGAATTGTTGAAAAACTGTATTAAAGTAATTAAAAAAATTAATTTACCAAAGAATTTAAAAAAATATTTTTAAAATAATTGAATTACAGATGATTTTAGAGAATTTACATTATCCTTTAGAGGGCCGGCATTTTTTAATTGAAAATCACCATGTTATAAACTGAAAATTTTACTACTTATGAAGTCAATATAAGGTAGAAAAAACCTGACACCGGAACTGGCCACTATAGTGGCCACCCCGGCCCTCTAGAGGTTATTGAAAAATTGAATTTTCGATTTTTGAAATTTTCAATTAAAATTTTAATAAACTAAAATTATTTAAATATTTTTAAAATTATGTAAACAAAAATTTAATTTAAAGACTAAAAATTAAAAAACATTTTATGTTATTAAATTTTTGAAAAATTTGTTTAAATTTATTAGAAATAATTAATTGAAAAAGAAATTGAAGTTAAAAATTTGAGAAATAATTGAGTTTTGGAAGAACAATAGTTAAAATTTTTGAAACTAATTAAATTTCAGGATATTTTTCATCAAAATTTTCGCAAATTAAAATTTCTGTAAATATTTTACATTCTATTATTATTTATTTATTTAATAGACAAATTTCAGTTCAATTTTCTTTTAAAAACAATTTATTATAAAAAGGTAATAAAAAAGAAGTAAATGATTTTGTTTGTATTTTCGAAAAAAAATAATGTATTTTAAAAATTCATAAATAAAATAAAACAAGTTTTTTTTTCGATGAAAGTTGAAAAAATTTTTAATTAAATATAATTCAAAATTAAGTAAATTTTTAATTTACAAATTATTTTTTTAATTAATTGTAACAATAATAAATTTATAATTAATTATTATTCAACAAAAAAAAAATACATTTTCTATATTCAAATAAAATTATTTTGTGATTTAGTAAGAAGGAATTTTCATTTTATAGATTATTTTTCCAATAAGCACTTTTTTTAATATTAATGCGTTAACAATAATTTTCGTCACGAATTTTTTTTTTTGCCAGTTTAAGAATATATGTTTCTTTATTTTCATTTATAATTAATTTATTCGATTCATTTTATTTTTTTTTATTACTTACATTTCATAAATATTATATTATACTTATACTTTCATTTATTATTTTATTTAAAAAAAAATTATTTAAAATTTTCATTTTGTTTTAAATAATCTTCTTTTCTCTTTTATTATTTTTCTTGAATTAATGAAATTCTGAAAAACAGCAACGCCTAAACGAAGAGAGGTTATTTTTTTTTATAAAAATTATTTAATTAAAAAACTTTAAGATATTATGTTTTTCGTAATGGTCGAAATAGACCGAGAGGGAAATGTTTATAGAAATAAAAATAAATATATAAAAATAATCTAGAAAATTTTACTGAAAGTTTTTTTTATGTATTTTTCTTTTTTTATTTTTAACTTTTCTCGTCAATTTGTTAAATAAATTAAAAAATTAAACTTAGCGTGAAAAATATAATGGAATATGATTCAATGTATAAATATTACATTACCGAAGAACAATCAAGTGCGTAAAATTAATTGTCATTTCAAGTTGGAGTTGTGTATATATTGAGCTTTATATATAGGAAAAAAAAATTCTAAGATATATTTAAAAAAAAAATTAAATCGTTAAATGCCCTTTTTTTAGCGCAAAATCCAATATTTTCGATGATCCGAATATGTTTGCATAAATATGCTTCTGCCATAATTTCTGGACTATATATAAATAAATAATAATTAATAATAAGAAAAAAAATCATTGTTGTAATGCTCAAATTAATATATACATAAATATATATTTAGCTGCGTCACACTTGTTAAAAATATCATTATATAAAATCAGAAACGAGGCGTTAA